TATTGTTTTTAACAATAAATCAATAAATAACATTAAGTTAACAATGCACAATTTTGCTATTCTTTTGTTCAATTAACGATTAAATTTTTGTGAAATTCTTCGTAATTTTTTATTTCTTTTCTTTGTATAAAAAATTAAGGTGAGAAAGGGGGGAAAGAAGGGAAAGACAAATTGAACAAAGGTGATGCACGAATTAGTTAATATATAATAGTGAGTCCGATTTCAAAAAAAATGCATCAAAATATTTTCATTCACCAAATTACACAGTTATTCATTAGATATGGTAATTTTGAAATAATTTTTTTTCTTTCTTCTTTTAATTTTTTTAATATTTGAAATGAATAGCAATTCAATTATCAATTTAATTATCATTAAATAAGCACTGCTGTGTAATTAATTATACGAGCACGACTGTACCATAATAACATAGGTCGATATACCGTGCGGTAAGGCAATACTGTAAATAAGCATTACTGTACGCCAAGGCGATACTGTAAATAGGTATTACTGTACGGTTATGACAGTATTTTAAGTGAGTGTCACTGAAGTATTACATTTTTCTGATTATGCTGCATTCCTGAACAAAATTACAGTTGCTGAGATGATGAAAGAATAATTTCTTGAGCATTAAATAATTTTACACAATGTTATCAGTTCATGTAAGTAAATGTTGCTGTTAATTATTAACGACTTACCGAGAAGATAGAGAGAGAGAGAGAGAGACAGAGGGAGAGAGGAAGAGATTGAGGGAAAGAAAGTGAGCGAAAAAAGAGGAATAAATTAAATCTATAAATAATGTTGCTCAAGAGAAATAGGATATAGAATAAATAAGCTTGAGAAAATTTTTTATAATCAAAAAGTTTTTGTATGATAATTTTTTAATTTTTTAAAAGTCGAATTAGTGATCTTATAAATTTTCAAAAGAACAAAAAGTGGAAATGCAAAAACACTTAATGATAATAAATAATGTTACGGAAGGGAACTTTTTTACCACATAAATCACTTAATGACTCGCACATTTAGTATAATTAAAGTTAAGGTATTATTAAGGTAAGCTTAAGAAAATTTTGAGAAAGAGAGAAAGAAAAAGATGAAAATAGAAATGGGAAAAAATCAGGAAACAAAATAAACAAAATTTCGGTATTGAAGATTTTTAGAAAATCTTCCTCTTAAAAATGCTTCATTTAAATTTGAAAATGAAAACATCGACAGCCAATTTGCAATTTTATACCATTAATGGAATGTCTTGTTTAAGTTTTAAAAAATCGTTAACTTGAAAAAAGCGATGAAAAAATTAAAAGAAAGCGGAGAGATGAAAAAGATAGTAATTGAACATGGTATTTTTCAAATCCAGTCTTAAATATTTAACCATGGAATGGACTGTTTTTGAAATTTCACGGGACAAGGTAGTCTAATTTCTTATCTTGCTAAACAAACTACACAATGTCAGAATTTTTTACTAAGAGCCAATTTTTTTTTCATTAATTAAAAGGGAAAAGATATTCTGAGAAATCATACATGTAATATTCTGTCCTACAATACATAGGATTATTAATAGTTAATTAGCTGGTCAATTAATTTAATTTTTAAAAAGATCGGAATGATCATACCTAATGGCACGTATGTGCAGTATGATCAGCTAGTATAGAGTTTGCAAATGACCTGAAGAATATAAATTTTCTCCAATTAATAAATCATTCATTGAAATATTTTTGAAATTAAAAATTTTTTGCATTCATATTTTTTTGTTCACACTTAGAAATTTGCAAGTTTTTAATTCGTCAAATAAAGTCTTCTTTTTTTTACATTTCAATTAAATGGATTTATTATTTGTTGTAAATGCGCTCTTATCTCAAATATCCCATCAAATGACTTTTTTAATGAGTCAATTCATTTCGATTAACGAAGCCTTTCAATATTCGAATAAATATTTTTCTTCTGTGTGTTTTTGAAGTTTAATTTTTTGACCAATTCGAGAAAATATTTCTAGAATGAGTCAGTTTTGTAATTTACTCAAATCATTTCTTCATTTTGCCAAGAAAAAAAATTTCTTTTCACTAATTCATAAAATCAATAAGCACGAAATGATTTATTTCAAGTTCCAGTAATTGGTTATATTGATGCAAAATTAATTTAAAATATATAAAACATTTAGGATCATTAATTTGATTTGTAAAATGCTTGCAAATACTTGAACGATTCACGTTTTTTCACTTTAAACTGCAAGAAAAGAAATAGGAAAAGTGCTAATTTTATCTAAAATTTTACAACTTATCAAATTGTTAATTTCTTGCAAATTTTCATCATGTTTTTTTTTTTAAAAAAAAAGAAGAAGCTAAATAAATTTTTTGTGTGGCCTTTTTTGAATTAATCTTCATATAGCTTCATTAGAAGTTAAAATGCAAATATTTAACTTTTGTTAAAATTCATCAAATTTTGAGTTATGAAATTTGTTAGAATTGATTTCATGCTTGTCATTTAATTAAGAAGCAACTTCACATCAATCATTTACAATCTCTATCATTTCACAACAACAAATTAATGTCATTCATTAGGCAGCGTTGATTTGACTAGAATTTAATTAAATTTTTTGAATTTTTAAGAATTTCAAATATATGTACCGGATCCTTCTTGCAGCCTTAACCATTTTTTTTTGCCCACCTTATCTGACAAGAAAATAAAAATTCCTCTGCAGAAAAAAACTTATATTCTGTGTAATAAATTCAATATATCCCGGATCTTTTAGATTAAAATAGTTTTTTTTTTTTACAGCATTCCTTAATTTTTTGCATTAATTTTGAAAAACACAAAACCAAAAACCAGATATTTTAATTTGATATAAAAATTTGACTTGCAATAATTAGGGTTAAACTGCCAATGATCAATCTTCCCCTAAAACGAAAGAAAAAAGAAAAGAGAAAAAAAAAACAAATAATGCGTTGCATATCATTCAGAAAGAATTTTTGAGAATTCAACTGGTCAATTTGAAATAAACGAACTGCTGGAAAAGTTCATAAAATTTTAACAATCCTTTCTCTCTCTTCCTCTCTTTCTTCCTCTTTTCTCTCTTTTTGGGGCAAAGAGGAGAAAAGAAAAAAAAATTCATGCAAAATATTATATTGTAGACCTATAATTATTCGTCGACGATTTATTTATTTATTTTCATGCATACAATAATCATTAAATTTTTCAATTATAAAAATAATTTTATGCAAACAGTAATTAAAGATTCCAATTTTAAAAAAAGTGGACAAAAATTAAATTACTAATTAGTAAGAAATAAATGAAACGAATGCGTTATAATGTGAAAAGTGAAATATGAAATTTTCAAAATAGAAGAAAAAAGGGAAATATTTAAATTTATTGTGTTTGGTCTATTCATTAAAATAATGTTCATTATTGAAGTTTAGTAATTTTCATTTAAAATATCTAATCAGTTAGGCATTAAATGCATTAAATGAATTTCATTCCCTGTATGTCATCAATTTTCAAAAAATTGGATAATATTATTGTTTTAGGAAAACGAATGATTGCGGTAAAGTACAGGTGACCGGCGAAATTGTACGGCCGAAGTATTATCGAATTAATGCGACATTTATTTCAGAAAGGTAATGTTAATTTCAAAACAAAAGAAAATCAAATCGTTTTCGGATTTCAATTTTCAATCATTTTTCAATTTTGGGTGCAAATTTTTCCTTTTTTTTTTTTTGAAATTGACCACTAAAAACAAAATTAATTTTCAGTGATAATTTTCTGTCAAAAAGTTTTGCATATTATGTCTATAGGATAAAATAAATTAATATGGCTTTTCAGTTTATAGCAATATATTTCAAGCATTCATTCATTCATTCCCATTTTATTTATGTCAAAAAGCAATGTGAAAATTTAATTAGACAAATTAATTTTTGTTCTCTTTTGAAAAAGACATTTTTTACAGATTAAATTTGAAATAATTAAAATGCATGCGGCAATGACAATTTGCTTTTTCAGCTTATAGCAGTATATTTCAAAGTTTTAACTTATAGCAGTATATTTCAAAGCATTCACTCATTTCCATTTCATTAATATAAATTAGACAAATTAACTTTTTTTTTTCTTAATTGTTTGTTTTTTAGAGATCCAATTCGAAATGTTAAAGTTGATGCGACATCAACAGTTTATGCAGTTGTACAAATTGGTCTACGTGGTGGCATTTTTCAATATACGAATGCATTGAAAATACTTGGAAAACCATCGCAAACGTTATCCTTTGATGAAGCATTCTTCTGCTATCGGGGTTCCACACTCATCGATCAGGATAAATGCAGTAAGGATGATTTCTCGAGTAATTCTCGAGCTACTACATCACCACCACTACCATCACCATCATCCCAAACATCATCAAATCCCGTTAAATCTCAGGATTTGACAACCTCATCACACATATCCACATTCATCTCACATAATTCTGCCACTATCACTACTCCAATCAAATCTTCCACTATTATTGAAAGCAAAAATATTAATAATTCAACGGAAAAAAATTAACTAAATTTACATAAATGATCGGTGCGATCAATTTTTTACTGACATTTTTTTTTCAGATTCACTCATTCATTTATTTCTTTAACACTAAATCTTTCCTTTTTTGTCTTCACTTTTTTTTTTTCATTTTGCATAAAATGTAAACTTTTCGATTTTTCCTTTCGTTTAATTCAAAATTGGAAATGAAAATTTTTGCTAAAAAAGGAGAAAAAATTGATGTTTTTTTTTTTATAAAATAAAATTATTTTAACAAATTCACTGGTAATATTTAACAATTAATTCAGTAATATTGTTTGTATGTAACAATAACGAAAAGGAATTTACTAATATGTTATGTTCAACAGGCATTATCCGACTACTAATATTTCTTTTTAAAAATAAAAGAGAAATTGTTATTGAACTGCTGCTATTGTTTCTTAATTTTAAAAATTTAATTTTAAACAATTTAAATTTGATTTTTAAAAGGACATTTAGCACTGTTCTACAGAAAAAAAGAGAAGCATTCTGATTGCATCAAATTTATTTTCTTTTTTTATCACCTGTATAATCTTTTTTTTTGCATATGAAATAATAAAAACTATCGAAAGAAAGCCTTGGAATAACAATATCGGTCAATATACACTTTTTTTTTTAACAACAACAATCATAATTTACTAACTTAACTTACAACTCATACTTACTTTTTTGATCAGTTAATCATGATACAAATAATTAATTAATTAGTTAGTTAGCAAATGATATTTGCACAATATCATAACAAAAGAAAAGAGATAAAAGAGAGTAATCAAAAGAGATTTTGATAGAAGATGAAATGATAAAAATAAATTTGTTTTGAATGGTGTATATTTCATTAGAAATATATCAAATTACAACAAATACATTCTAATAATAGAATATTATACAATTTACCGGATCCGGCAAATATTTTTGTTAGAATTCACTTCATTTAAAATTAATTAAGATTCATGAGTTCAAATAATTTTATTTCTGCAGTATGCTAATTTATTTTTCTTTTTGTTTATGCAAATTATGTAATAACATGGACAAGAATAATTAACAGCTATTACATTTCATCAACAGTTAAAGTAATAGTAAAATTAAAAATCAAAATATTATTTATCATTTTATTTAAAAGTATTTCTTGCATTGAAAAAAGAAAAAAATTTTTTTTGCAATACAGATATTTGCAATTATGAATGAATATAAATAAAAATTGTTAAAGGGTATGATTAATTGATTCTCAATTAGCTAAATTTTTGAAAATTAACGGGTGCAAAGATCTTTTATTTATGGTTTAAAATTAATGAAAATCAAGTTTAATAAAAAGTTAAAATGAATATACCATTTATTATACTGTTTACTGATAATGTCAATAGTTGATCATACAAGTCAAAAATTTGCAACTTAAAAATTATTTTTTTTTGTTCGATCATAATTCTTCCATCATGCTAATTCTAATAACTGATTTACATTCAGACTATCGAACTCGAAATGAACTAACTCGTCAAACTTGAATTGAACTTGCTTATCAAAGCTTTTCAAATGATAAAATCAACACAGATATGCATATATTAATCTAATATTGCATGATTTCGATCGGGCATAAAATAATCCTGAAAAATTGCAAAATAAATTTTTTAATTGGTGAAAAAGGAGGAAAAAAAATAACAGCAATAGCAATTACTTAGGAAAATACTTAGGAAAAGTATCGAACATATCTTTGAAATTATGTTTCAATTTTACTTTGTATCCAATCATCAATTATCATTAAAATTTGTGATGAGAAAATAATTTTATATATCATAAAAGAAGAGTTTAGAATTATTTAATACAAAAAAAAAATCACATTGATTTGTTTAATAATTGCTATCATTCGATGCAACGCTCTTTATAAGTACTGATAAGTTCAATATTTTTATGATGCGAGGAAGCATACATCCGAGACATTTTGGTGATTATCTATCCAATGATAATAGTACTGGTTGTTTTAGCAATATTGTACTTTACGGTAATATCATTCAACAAATTACAGTTAATCAATATCAATTGTTTAGAAGCAATTTTTGCACTGATGACAGTATGAATCATAATAAATGTAACATTTTCAAATCACACTATAGTAATAAGGAGGCAATCATTATGTGTAAAAAAAAGAAAAGCAAGATGATAACTTTAAATATTTTAACTGATTATTGATATTAACGTAAATAAAGCATGAAGTATTGATAACAAATTGCTATACAATAGGGACTATACTAACAATGATGATGATAACCAGCATAATAATAATGCAAGCAATTATCATAATAGTAATTATTATAATACTCGATTACAAGGATTATTAATAACGTAATGATAATGATAATACCTAGATATAATAATAATGATAATACCTAGATATAATAATAATGATAATAGCTGAATATAATAATAATGATGATAGCTATCTTGCTCAGAATAATTTTCAATTTTTAATTAAGTGATAAAACATCGTTTTATCACTTAATTAAAAATGCTGTAGAATGATTTTGTTGGTAAAATGTTGGTGAAATGATTTTGGTAAAAAATTTTAAACTTAATTTTTTTGTTCGAAAATAAGATGAAATATAATGGATAATATTTCAATAGCTAAAACAAATAATTTAACAAATGATAATGATAACAAATGATAACGATAACAAATGATAACGATGATGACAATTTCCCTATTCCTATTAGTTGCTCTCCCCGGTATGGCATCAAATATTTATTAAAATTAATAATTATCAATTTCATAACATCTCATAATCCATATTATTCATAGTACTCTGCGAACCTGGCCATTATCACAGTCTTCTATCAAAGAAGTGCGAACTTTGTCCTCGAGATTACTATCAGAATCGATCCGGTAGATCACGATGTCATAAATGCCCTCAAGGATATGTGACATTAACTATCGGATCTATTCATGCTACCTCATGTTTCGGTTTGCATTGATTTTATTCTTTGAAACTATTAAAAATTTTAATTTCACTTTTTCTTTTCATCAATACTTTGATATATTTGAAATTATCAATGATTATCACATTATTTAGTAGTTTACAGTAGAATGTTCCGCTGGCCATTTCCTGAATGAAATAACCGGTAAATGTGAATCATGCGGTTATTTGGCTTATCAACCAAATTCAGGCTCAACAAACTGTTTGCCGTGTCCACAAAATACTGTCGCTCTAAGCATCAATTCAACATCAATTGATCAATGTATTGGTAAAAGAAAAAAAACTTTTTTCTCAAAATTTATAAAAAATTATTGTGCAAATTAAATTAGCAATAAATACGTTAATTTATTCAATCCAATATTTTCCGAAAGAATATTCGTTTATTTTGAATTGTTAAGTTTGAAATATTTATTGGAATTTGTTAAAAATTTAAAAATATTACAGAATAAATGCTTCGATAATTCTAATCGTTATCATTTTTTTCAAATTACAATTAGACAATTTATTATATTTTTGGTTTACAAAAATATTTTGAAATAATTTCCTTTTTTTTTTAGAAAATTGTCCAGCAGGAGAGGAACATTCATCTAACGGTAGTTGCGTACCGTGTCAACGTGGATTTTTTAAGGAACCAAACGATGTATTATGCCGACCTTGTGATCCGGCATATATCACGGAATCAGTTGGTTCAACCAATGAAATGTATTGCAAACTACGTTAGTCCTAATTATTTAATTACTGTTTTAAAATTTCATTTTCCTTTTTTATTATTGGTTAATCTATAATGTCGAAAATTTATTTATCGCTGAATTTATAATTGCATTTAAAGAATTAGTTAGCATGAAATTTTAATAAAAGTTTATTATTAAATCGAAAAAATGACCAATTCGCGGCACTGATGTATTTTCATATGAAATTTTCATATATGAAATTTTTAATAATTCATTCAATTTAGCAAATATATTGTACAGAGGTACATTACTGATAGCATAGCATTAATATTTTCCGAATTTGCTCAATTGAATAATTCCAGCAAGCTGTAAACAAGGACATTACTTAAATTGGCATCTTAAGCAATGCTTGAATTGTAGCTATGGTTATTATCAGGATGAAGTTGGTTCCAATTCGTGTAAACGTTGTCCATCCGGTACCACAACACGAATTCTTGGTAATTAATTTTAAATACATTACTAATAAAATTATTTGAGAAAATAATATGTAAATTAAAAAAGGTTAAAATACAAACATAAATAAAATGAAATTAAATTAATTAAGCTTAGAGTTTTCCTGATTTTCATTTTAGGTGCTACATCGATAGAAACTTGTGTTTCAACGAATCAATGTGCAAGCGGTGAGCATAACTGTCACTGGTTAGCGGCATGTATTGATTTACCTGATAAGGAAAATAAGCCAACATATAGCTGTCGATGTCAACCAGGTTTTGTCGGAAACGGATTCACCTGTACCGGTTGGTTTAATATTTTAATAATTCAACTATAATCTAACAAGTTGAAAGAAAAGGTAGAGAAACGTGAAGATCATTTATTGACTATCATTTATTAAATGTTATTTACTGAGTTAAATAAAATTAAAAAGATTACATTTATTAATAGAAAAAAATCATTTATTTAATTAAAACAAAATCATTAATTTAATTAAAACAAATAATTTAACTATTAATTATGCATAACGACGTCCAATATAAGGTCTCAGTTAACCAAACTTTAAGGGAACGATTTATCTTTGTTGATTGTATTGGCAGTTAAATGAGAAAAATTTAATCTCTCCAAATTTTATGACTAATGTGAAATTTACAATAATTCATTTAATTTAGCTAATATATCGTATAGACGTAATGAACTCGCTTTTATACTAGCATAGATAATATTGATATTAACATTAGCGGGTAAAACAAATATAGTTCTAATCCGGTATATCAAAATTAAAAAAAGATTTGAATTTTTTTTTTTATTTCAGATATTTGCTTAAATTTATGCTATAATAATGCGGAATGCATAAAAACATCACGCGGTGAACCACGATGTATCTGTAAGCCGGGATATCGTGGATTACGTTGTGAAATTAAGAAATGATTATATAATTCATAAAATATCGATAATTTATTCGAATGTATAGTATTTCAAATTTATTCCTATAATTTATTGTTTCTTTTTTATTTTTGTTTTTCCTTGTTTGTTTGTTTTTTTCGAAATTCGAAATATTGGGAATAAAATAAATTAATAATATGTGCATAACATTTTTAGGTATTTATTTAAAATTGTTTAATGAAAAGTATTAAAGTGAGGATAAAAAAGAAAGGATTAAAGTTATGATATGAATAGAATTATGGCGAATCAATTATTCTTTTATAAATTCCTTTACAATGCGAAAAAGAAAGAAAAAACAAGGAGTGAAAATAGTATTTTGATCGGAATAATAAAAAAAAAGTGGTTTCGAGAATATAAATTTGAGAAATAATAAGGTTAAAACTTTTTCACATTTTTAATATGGTTAAAATTTTTTAAAAAATATCCAAGAAAAAAGGGTGATGATGATGATGATGGTACTTGATTGCTATACATTTGTCAAATTATTTCATGTAATTTTTTCATTTCATAAATTCTTGATTTAATCAGTTTTTTTTTTGCTTTATTTGATAGTATCAATGAGGTGATAGCCTTCTAAGAAATCAATAAATTTTGAAGGAATGAATTTGTTAAATTGTAGGAATTTAAATTAGAAAATGTGAAAGAAGAATTATTAAATTGAAATACATTAATTATTAATCATTAAAAAATCGTAGCTTTTTTTCACTAATAATGATTTGTTATCAACGAATTACCATAACACTCAAGGAATAGAATTGTTATTTCAAATTTACTTTTCGTCATTCAAAATATTAAAAAAAAATTGTTTTTTCTTTGTAGATAATCTTTTTTTCTTGCATTTCTCATTTTATAAACATTTTACTTTCTTCCAGAGCATTTAGTTTTTGATAATATTATCAATATTTTGAACAGACTGTTATCATTGAATGGAAAATATCGGAAGAATTCTATCAAGGCTTAATTTTCTTTCTTATTGATAACATTTTTTTAAATATATTTGGATGGATGAAAAAATGAATTTTACTCAATTGCATTAAGTATATTATTTAAATATTCAAATCACATTATAGGAAGTAATCATCGTTATATTATTCACATATAGCAAAACAAAAAAAGAAAAAAATTACATCAAAGCATGAAATTTCAATCAAAATGCATCAAAAATATTAAACTGAAAATGTGAAATTACAAAAGAACGGGTAAATTCAATAAAGTGAACAGTCAAATTCCGTTTCATGAATGTAAAACTAACCGTTAAATTGAAGTACCACCAGTTTGCAGTTTTTTTTTTAGAAAGCATCATAACAAATTAATTATTTGTTTGTTTGTTTGTTTGTTTCGAAATCATTTTATTAAAATTTATAATTATTTGGTAACCGTTTATTTTATCCAAATGCAGTGCAAAAAGCTAAAATTATTTCTTTCACGTTTAATATTATAAATTTAATGAAATTGTTCATAAATAACTTCGTAAAATGTAATACTTTTTTTTTACAGAATTATTGAGCACTAAAAATCCGTCATAAAAAATTAATTTATATTTGGTTAATGTTGGAAATCGATGATTTTGTAGTTCATAAAATGGCAAAGAAATAACTGTTTCAAATCTTTTATTTTCGCTAAAATTTAAAAAATAAAAATAAATTATTGATTTTTTCTTTTCAAAATTTACAAAATAAAATGTAACCTATCCATGAGATCAACACAGGAAACCGGCATAAATAGCAATTTTGATAGCTGAAGATAAAATAGCAATGTTCAACAAAGTAAATTATTGAAATGCACCTTTTTTTTCAAAAAAATTTCGATAATAATATTCAAAAATTTTTTATTTAAATTTTTGTCATTCATTTTTGAAAATTAAAAAAAAGAAATATTTTGTTGAACTTCATTATATGAAAAATTAAAATGTTTATTTGGTGAATAATTTACGCCTGATTAATATTTATAATTCAGCTTTGATATTGAATATTTGTCGTTGGTGGTTGACAGCTCACCCGTAGTGCCAAACTTTTTTGATAAAAATCTTCAGCTGGATCGGTACTAAATGTATTAATTGTTGACCTAAAATTTGTAAAAAAAAGGAACAAACAAAAAAAAAATTTTTTTAACTTTGATTAGAAATTTTTTATTTATTGTTAAAATTGATTTTTTAATAGTTAAATAATTAAATTAAAAAAAAAGGCAAAACTCACGTAGTCATTGGTGCACCAAAAGTATGAGCACCTGATACAGCTCCATAAGCAGAAGCTGCGGGATAGGTCATTGGATGAGCTACAGGATATGGTTGATACCTGAAATTAATTTAAACAAAATTAATAATTAAAAAATAACGTTGGCAATAATTGCACAATGTTTATTGATAATCAATTTTGCTTGTTTAAATTAGCAAAAATTAATTGTCCCTAACAAATTGTTATTGAAATAAGTTATAGTATTTCTTATGGTTGGAAGAAAAACGAAAGGAACAAATGTACATTGATTTAAAATTTGTAAGTTTCAGTCTAATCTTTAACTTATAATAATTATTTATTACATATCTACAAAAGAGTAATAAATTAAGTGACATGAAATAATATAAATTATTAATTGATTTTTTTTTAAAATTAACACCACAATCCATTTGTGCTTTTTTTAATCTTATTATTTTGAGCATTCTAATCTAATCTTTTTTCTAACAAAAATTTTAATTAACTGCTATATACATTTTTAAATTACATATAAATTTTTTTTTTACCAGAACGGATCAGCAGCAGCTCGAGCAGACATAGAGGCAGTTGATGGATACATTGGTGTCCGCATGATTTGACCTGCGGCACTTTGTGATGGAAATACTGTTTGTGGTACCAAAGCTTTTGAAAGTTGCTTTTCCTGTTTACGATGTTTTGCACGCCTATTTTGAAACCAAACCTGATAAAAATGACAAATATTTTTTTCAAACTTTATTGCTAGCATTATATGATTTGGTTATTATACATTACATTTTTCAAATTTTATTTCTATCATTACATGATTTATTAAATCAGAATTGCTCAATTTGAAAAATTTTTTTCAAATTATTTTATTAATAAGTGAAAATTGAATAAATTTAAGTTATTCGTGGTAAGCAAATTACAGTTAAGTATTGTGATAAGCAAAATACAGTATGCATATAATGCGTTTTAGTATTATAAAATTTAAGAAAAATTCATGAAATTGAAATCTATTTTGTTCAGCTCTATCTGAGATTCCTTGAATTAATTCTTATTTTCTTTCCGATTAGTAAAAATGGCTTGTATCGTTGAAAAAGCAAAAAAAAATGGTTTCTAGAACAATTGATAAAATTGTTATAAAATCAATTAATCAATCAGTCAAATGTTATTTTCAATTAGCAAACAAATGAATGAAATAATTTTAACGATTGGTAAAGTACTACAAATCCTATAGCAAAAAAAATTGATTTAATCTATAAATGAGAATTAAATATTGATAAAATGATTAATTGATAATCATTAGTTCAATAAATGAATCTATCGGTGGTTGTCTTATTATTATTTAGTACACACTTAAAAATTCTAATCGAACTTCATGCATAACACTTCCTGGAATTGCTTTACAATTTCATTGGTAGAAGGAAAAGTGGAAGTTAATTTAATTTTGCATACATTCGTTTCATAGAGAGAGAGGGAGGGAGAAAGAGGAAGAGAGAAGAAGAGATAGAGAGTGAAATCTTTTGGAATTTAACTAAAACATTTTTGCTTAGAGCTTTACCCCTACTTACATACACTTACTATACTATAATGCGCATTTGATTGAAACGAATATGCCATTTCTTGATGAAGAATAAAAGTGAAAAGAGAAAAAGGGAGAACGAGAGAAAGAGAGAGAGAGAGAGAAAGAGAAAGAGAAAGAAGGATGAAAAGTTTGATCGGAAATGTAAATGCTCAGTTGTGTAGCAGAGAATGGAGCGGAGTCACAATTAATATGCATTCAACGAATGACGAGAATACATATAAAGTGTGATGTGTAGCTTTTGTTCATCGTCTTTTCAATCGGATTACGGTAATAGCTTACTAGACTCAAGGAATAAGTTCAATGCCGAAGCTTTAGCTTTTTTTCATTTTCAAAACCAATGTTATTTATATTTTATTGAATAAGAAATAAATTGCAATTGTCTCCAATAGAATATATCAAGTTTTTCCATCTTTTTTTTTTATTTTGTTTAGTTTTACTCCAACAATAATTACAATACATTATTAATTCAAAAAAAAAATGTAAATTTTGAAAAATTTTTCGAAATTTTAGACATTTTAGTAATAAATGTGCAAATAAAATGATAGAAAGAATTAAAGTTTTAATCGTATGGCAGATTGTTTGGATGAAATATAAAATGTTAAAAGTGATAAATTCAGTACTATTAAAAAATATCATTGATAAAAAATTACAGTATGCTAAGTGTTTTATTTTTCAAAAATTTTATGTTTTGATTAAATTCAATTTTATGCTTAAAATATTTTTCTTGTTTAAATTTTGAAATTATTTGAAAATAAAAAATTCAGGGAGAAGAAAAAAAGTAAAGAAAAAATTTTATACTGAAAAGAGAAAACTGCAATGAAATAAGAAGATAATTTAATTTATTGAATGCCAATAACTTGATCAAGAGAATTGGGAAAAAAAAGATAGTCCCAAAGGGAAATGGAAAATGATCGAAAAACTTTTCCACACTGTCATGTTCTCTCAAATATTTTTCATAAATATATTTTTATCATTTATACAATTGATAGAAATATGTGCCATATTATTTTCAACATTTTAAAACTTACTTATTAAACAACCAACTGTCCCTTTTTCCCTTTTTTTGTCTCAATAAAAACCAGTAAATATATTTAAAGAGCAAAAAACAAAATTAATTTAGTGCATTAATATAATTTGAGAAAAAAAGAAAAGTTAAGAAATATCTTTAAAATTCGCCATTATTTGAAATACAATTCATTGTTACTTAAACACATACTCATTGGTTTAATTTATGAGAAAGTTTAATGATTAAAAATCCCGTCATACTGTATGCGAAACACAAGCTATTTTAAAGAAAGGAAAAAAACACATGTAAATTTGAATACTATACTTAATTTAAGTTTTATTCAACTACGTAATATCAAAGAATTTCACTACACTTAATTTAAATTTTTCAGAATTCTTTTCTGCTATACCTAATTCAAATTTTATTCAACTATTTAATATCAAAGAATTTCATTGTAGTTAATTTAAATTTTATCAACTAATTATTTTAAAGGATACATCTTTATCAAATATAAAATTTTTCCAATTCTAAAATGCAATTTATATTTGCCGGATAAGTTTCCCCTCATTTGATATATGTGTATAAATGCGGTAAAAATGAATTGAGACAGTAGTTAAAAGTGGTTGAATGTTGTTCATGAAAAGATAGAGCCAAGTAGTCCCGTATTCAAATTTGATGTACAGATGGTGTAATCGGTAGTGCCTGTAGTGTTTTTGGTGGAAGGATCAGAGAGGATGTTATGTGTCTGGAAGGAGAGGTGAAATGAGGATAGGAAGAGGAAAACGGGGGAGAATAACGGGAGTTGAAGAGAAGCAAAGGTTTTGGGATATCCTGCTGCGTATAAGTTCGCTTCATTGCTACAGCTAATTGCATGAAATAAGCTTACTGAAGAGCTGATAATTATGGGCCTGAAGTGGTACAGAATGTCAACCATCTAATTTCTCTTCATCTCCTACCAAAATCATACCTTTTTCAAACTCTTTTTCTCTTCATTTCATTACCTATTTTCTCAGCTCTCTTCATTCTTGATGCTAGCTTATATAAATAAATGTAAATAATAGTAACAAAAAAAAAAAGAATTACAAACACAGATGTTTGACTGTTTTTGGTAAAGGCTACGAAAGAATTTCAGGTCAATAGCAAATAATGACCTATAATGACCTTTTTTTTGTATGCAATCTTTTTCTTTCAATGGGTATATTTTAATTAATAGAGAAGATAAGGGAATGTAATATGGAAAAAACAATATTTATTACTGATTATAATATAATGTAAATTTATCTGCTGTTAATTTCTTTCCTAAAAATTTTGAAATTTTAACAAAAACGGAAAAATAAAATAATAGCTTTGATATTCAATCATTCAAATGGGCATCCAATATCATTTTTATTCAATTGTAATTTGATCCAAAGGTACTGTTGGATAGAACAATTAGATCTTTTTTTTCTTTTCACCCTTTTCCTTTCTTCTTTCCAGAATATTTGATGAAATTTGAGAAAGATATTTTAAATCTCCTAAAGTAGTACCTTCTTTTTCACAATTTCTAAATAAAATTTCTTTGTTTATTGTAACAAACTAAAATATTATTTAACTTAATTTCTTCAGTTTGTTAAATATTATTGAATCAAAATTTAAAAGTAAAAAATTATTTTCTCTTATTAATTTGATATTATTTTTAAAATGAAGTTCAGTTGTTATTGGTTAAAAATTTTTGATCCTAAAATTTCCACCTGAATTCGTGCTTCATTTAACTTTGTAATCCTAGCAAGCTCTTCACGGACATAAATATCCGGATAGTGGGATTTTTGAAATGCGGCGTCGAGCTCTGCTAGCTGTTCTTGCGTAAATGTCGTGCGATGTCGTCTTCGTACGCTGTAAACGGCATAAAATTAATTTATAATAATTTTAAAGTATCAAAGATCAACCTAATTAAATACATATAAGAATTAGAATAAAAAAGTGACATGCATGAAAGTATCCCAATTTTTCTTCCATCAAAGGATTTGCTATCGAAATTCAAAATTTCAAAACTCGTAAAATTCCTAAAATGATGACATTCATTCTCGATGCTCTTTTGCAGGACAGATCTTTTAAACATTAAAATTTGAAAGTCAAAAAAGAATAGAAAGAAGAAATGCTACCTGGCAGGTATTTGTGTGCTACCAGAAAGAGCGCTTGCAAACACAGATGTTGCACTGCAACTACTGCTTTCTGCTTTAATTTTTTTGAATGCACCATCTAGAAATAAAATTATTAAAATTTAAAAAAGAAAAAAAAAGATAAGATTCAAAAATTTCACAGAATTTTTGCTAAGCCTTTGAAAATTTTTCAAATAAAAAATTTTAAATTGAATTTATTCTTCAATTACAAAAGACTGTGAGAAATTTTGCAAGATTATTTCTAATTGGCAGATGTTTTAAGCTCACTGAAAAGCATCATCCCAATGAACAATAAGGATTAACTCTATCAATTAATGCTTAATACCATTCAATCAAATAAAAACTCATAGTCAACTGCAGACAGATGATAGAGCTAAAAATTTTGAATTTTTTCTCTTAAATTTTAAATCATTTAAATAGCATTTGAAAAAAAAATGATAATAAATAAGCAGTTGAAAATTAAAAAAAGGAAAAGAAAAAGGGGTAATTATTTTTGAAAAATTCATTTCGTTTATAGATTTTACCAGAAGAATCACCGATCGGTCGTAGGCTATTGGATACAGAGGCATCAAGCGGTGTATAATACGGGAAATCGGTAAGCGCATGCGCTAAATCTTTATTCTTTAATTGCTCCTGAAACTGCAAACTAACAAGGTATGTTGCAGTTGTTGAGAGCATGCTGTAAAAAATAGCAAAAATTTTTGCTTTTTCAAATTCTAAAATAAATATTTTGCACGATCAATTTACATTAAATGATAAATAATTGTCGCAGAAAATAAAAAATTATCAATTGATAAATTTTTCAAACAAATATAATTTGCAAAAAGAGAATTTCAAAAATATAATAATAATTAGTGAAATTATTTCTAGATATTAGTGTATTATATTTTTTGCTCTCCCAAAATTACTCTGTAAATATTGAAAGCATAAATTTATTGAAAAAAAAGGAAAACAAAAACTTGATCATATTTTTTATTTTTTAGGCAATTTGTAATAGTTTGAAAAGAAATATTACAAGAAAATTATGATCCAAACAAATTGGAGAATGATCATTTCCGATGAACTAATCATTCTTGCTCGAAAAGTATACGTGATATAAAATTATTTAATTTATTTCTAACATGATAACATTTATTTCAAATCTCTCAATTCATCAGTTAATCCAACAACAGTTATAAATTGCAACGATTAAAATATTAATGATTGCTTGTAAATATTTAATGCATAAATTTTTATTAAAAAAAGAAAAGCAAAAACTTGATCACATATTAGAAATGAAAATTCAAGAAAAATAACCACCTTTGTTAATTGAAATTTTTTTAAAAAATCAAACTTTCTTTAAATTCAATATATACATTACTGTTCAATAACTTTCCCTATTACCTATTACGCTTATTATTTAACTGCAAAACATAAATTTCTCAACAAAAAAAAAAAAAAATTCCGCTGAATTTCATACTCTTCGATGGATACGGATGAAGGAGAGAGAGAAATGAATGAAATGAAATGGACAAAGGAGGGCTCATACGGTTTACGGCCAAATTAAATTTTCCATAATTACTTTAGAAATAAACAAAACCAGAAACATGAAGAGAAGTTTAACACATAATACTACACGGATATATGCTAAACAAGGAAAAAGAGAAGAAGAAGATATTGCCCGCTGAACAATTAGGCTCCCATCTTTCTCTTAAAGCTTAATGCTCAAACAAATTATGATAAATTAGCGCATCCGGCTGTCGTTGCGATAGTAATAAGAAGTGCTTTTCACATAACCAAACACTTCATTTCATTTCATTTTATTTCATTCATTCATTCATTCAGTGATCACATTTGTCGGCATTTCAACTTGCATAGCTCTCTCCCTCTCTCTCTCTCTCTCTCAACATCGATCCAACATTATTTATTATTTGCTTTTTTTTTCTGATCAATGCTTATTCATACATGAAAATTAATTGTTACCAAAAATCAGGTTTGACTTTAAAAATCAACGCTTCTGCTTCTTTTCGTTTTTTTTTTTTATAGAATGCTTTACTAATGACTTTCATTTATTAATTGTTTGGAAATTTAAATTGATCAAATCAATGAATATTTAATTCAGTATATATATATTTGTTTTAAAATTTTAGCTTTGTTAAATTTGTCCAATTTAAATCTATCAGTCTGTTTAATTATCAAGTTCAGGTGAATAAATTTAATTGGAAATAAGCAAAATTTATAAGACAATAAGTTATTATTGCACGATAAAGTTTTGCACACAAAACTTTTCCTATTTGGTGGAACATTTAATCCATCATTGGACTGTGTAATATTACTGCAATTTATATCAAAATTAATTTTACCCTTTTTACTGTGAAGATTATTTTATGAAATTAGGTCAAGGAAGGACTGCCTATAAGGTTGTTTGTAATTTGATGAAGTAAATCTTTTAAAGCTAAGTTTTACATTTCCTTTTTTTTCTCTCTGCTATCAGTAAGTGTATTATGAATGTATTCAAGACTTACGTTATAATGCTAAAAGATTAGAATAGCTGATTTGAAATTAAAAATAGGCGATTAAATTCATGATTTAATCCGGTAAATTAATCCAGAATCGTTAAGCTATAAATGTATTAAGTATAAATAATACAATGCTTAATGAAGTGAAACGATTGTAAATTTAATAAGTCTTAAATGATAATAAAATAAGAATGGTACCTGTGTAATAGCGGAAACAGCAGCAGCGGTGCTACTGGCACCATTAAGGATAGTGGTTGTGGTACTTAATCCTTCACTAGTCATTCGAACCAAAAAGATACCGTTTAAAAAGGAGGAGGCGAGTAGATTAGTGAATTATACTTTACTTAGTTAGTGGTTCGCAAGAGTCCACAGATTTAATTTGTAAATGTCGTTAGCTTTCGGCTTCTTTTTTTGCTGCTAGTAATATCTGGTTGTTGGTGTTGGTGGATTGATGCGATAATGATGATGATGATGATGATGATGATGGTAATAGTGAGTAAACTGCTATTGTTGTCACGTTAAACAAATTTAATAATGAAGGATTTGAAGTGATGATGATGGTGATGATAATGGTAATGGTGAATGGTGATGATAATAATGATAATGATGATGATGGATTTTTATATAATTACAGTAAATAAATTTTGGGACAAGTGGAATGATGATGAGGATAACTTGGTTTTCTTCCTTGGAACACGATCACAGTGCTATACACATGCATAGACATACACACTACTTTGCACTCCCGCAAAAGCCTGTAAAAGTTTATGGCCTATATGGACACAGAAGTAGGAGAAAATGGCCTTAAAGCTATTATCAGCAAAGGAATAGGAGAGGTGAACGGCTGGATTGAGGGGTTTAGGGGGTATACCGGGGAAGGTAGAAAAAGGGGGCTATGTCTTACAAGCAAGCCTATTTACACTCTTCTTTCTCCTTCTCCTCCTCCTTTCACTCAATTCTCGAAATTACGAATGGCGCAGCAGACTACGACCACCTCAGCTGACAACATGAATTATAGCTTTATTGGATTTACTGCCTCTGTCTATTCTCACTTCGGGATACGGTATCCCTCTTTCCCCTCTTAGCTCTTTTTCCGTAGACTATCCGGTCTAAGTTGTCATCTTTTCCAAGTTCTAACTATACCCCATAAACATCTATCGTCATACCCTTCCTGTGTTGTCGAGCAGCTGGCCTGATTACTTTGGCTGGTTTTAGCTTGTATGGCCTGCTCTTACGAAATGATTTGATTATAGGCTATGAATGATGAAGAAGTATGGGAAGGGAAGGGAGGAGAAAAAGAGGAGGGTAAAATTATACTCCTTATACACAACAACTCTTTCTACATTGATCACTTTTAGGTATGAATTTTATCAAAATTAAGGTTGAAAATTAGCCTCTAATAAATCTATCAAAAATATTATAAGAAATTTGAGCAGATCCATGTTCACATGAAAGTAACGAGGATCTTCAATGATAAATGTATCGTTCAACAACTAATTCCATGCCTTAAGTGGCTGATTCAAACAAATAAGTATGATGCCGACAAAATGATCATCGCATAGGTCAAGAAGGGTTCATTGCAATGACCCAACCGATCAAACAATAATGGTGAATGGTGCAATTTAACTCATCAAATTGAAGCCAATTTTTTAATGATAATTCGCTTATTTGAAAAAAAAAACCTGAATTATGCATTAATACTGAAACACAGCCATATGTTTATTTTTAGTTGAAAAAATTTTTAATAGTAATTAGCAAATAATTATTCATTTCAAATTACTGTAAAGAAGAAAGTTTATGTTGATTGTTTTTTAATTTTTTGGATTTTTTCGAAGTTTGACGCATTTATTCTTGACCATAATTCAATGTTATTTAACATTTTTTGACAAAATAAGAAAATGTCAAATTCCATATAAAAAATTTTATTACATTACAGATTTGAAATTTTATTTGCTTATGTTAGAGTGTTTATGTTTCCATCATTTTAATTAATTGTTATAACTAATTAGTCCACTTTTCTTATATTTTTTTAAACTTTTAAATTCATTGATATCTTTTATTGATCCGATTCCCTTTAACATATAACCAGAAATTGAATTTTTCGTGCTCTAATGAGTGCAACATTCATAATTATTAATTATTTGATATTGCATAATTCTAAATTATGCCAATTTCTTTTATTTATTTTTGCTTAATCTAATCTTTAATTAATTTTGAAAATAGTTACAATGATTTATTTTTATTTAAATATTTTTGTGTTATGGATAAAACATTAAATCATTTAGCGATAATTTGTTCTTTTCATCAGATATTTATTTTCTTATCATTTTGAATCATTATGCTTTGTCATCGTCATAATGTTTGGATGATAAAAAAAACGCGCTCCACTAATGATAACTGCTTTTAACTTTTATTGGTACTTTAAAATAATCAAGAGACGGAAAATCGGAAATAATTTGTGGAAAAAAAATTTTATGAATTTATTGGATAAGTGAATGCACTTTGCTTTTGTCATGAATTAATATCAAAGTATCAGAATTGATTGGTAATATAATTTCTTTTCTGGAAGTGATTTTTGATCTTTAACGAAACTGAATTTTAATCATATACAGAAGATGACATACTTTTCTAGATTCTATGTCAGGATCTTGCAGACACTCTTCAATGATAAGAGTTACTTAATTCGAACAGATTTAAGTCTCAAATTATTTCTCCATCTATGAATTTCAGTGCAGTAAATGTGCTCATGGAATGATTGGCTATTCATTAATTGTTATAAGATTTGATAACATTAATAATCCATGCATTATGGAATGCAAACGATTTGATGAAATTTAAAATTTAATCAACAAAAGTTTTCGAAAACTCCCATAGATTATGCAAATAAAGTTCTGAAATTTAATGAATGTTCCGCATTATGAAGCTTTAAATAGGCAAATAAAATTGAAAAAAAAAACTGAACAATATTTATTTGGTCAAAATTTATAAAAAATTTTTGGCTGTTGAAATGAATAAGACAGAAAAAACAGATTCGAATTTCAATTAATTTCAAGTTAATAAATGATGGATATTTCAGTTACATCGCAGATATTGGCGAACCAATATTGGAGAAATCGGAAGCACTCCAAAAAAAAAAAAAATGGCTCATTTTGGATGCTTGGTTAATTCGAACTTTATCTATAAAGTCAATAAGTGATTACAAATACGATTATTTGTACGATCATGATCGTATCAGTAAGTGGAGAGAGTGTATTTACTGCATGAAATTGCTGATAATTTTTTCACTATAATTTTCATTTTCCTGTTTAGATTGGAAAATGGATCAGTGGAAAGAAAATGAAGAAAGAGGTTGAACTAACTGGTGAGAGATGATCTAAATGATGAGAGATGATAAAAATAGTGAGAGTAATCTAAATAATGGGGGATGGATGATCTAAATGATGAAATATGATCTAACTAACGAGATATGATTTGGTCAGTTTTGAACTGTTTGAAAAATATCACTGATGGAGTTAACAAACAAAATCTGATTTATGGAATGCCACATCTGCTATAAAGTAAACTAAATGAATGTCATTTGCATTGCGATGCTTCCAATGCTGCAAACTGTTATTCATCTGAAATTATGTACTATTAGCAAAACAGTACTAATTATTATTCAATATTTCCAAATCTTCAGAAATGACTGTCATTCATTAACTCATTTATTTCATAATTTTCAGAATCTTTTGAAAATATCGAATTATCCAAACAAGGAAACATCATCGATGGCTTTGAATTATATGAATTTTCCATTTTTCTAATCACATATGCGAACAAATCCAATCATTTGTGTAATGTTTGGGTTAGCCGGAAAATTTCAACGACGCTGTGAATCTGATCTCGAACAAGGTTCAATTGTTTGACGTCAATGTTTTCAAATTTTAAGAAAAAAATTTCTTCCATTTTTTGATATGCGTATTTTTCCAACTTTTTTTTGTACTATACAAGTGTAAAAATTATTTTTTATAAAGGTAATTTGGAATAAATCAGTGCAAACTAATTGGTCTCATATAAATAATAAAATGATATTAAGTTTAACTTTGCAAATTGCGTATTAATTTTTACAAAATTAAATTAATTTATTTAAGGATAAGAGACGAGGCATAAAATTGGGTGTACGGAATTTTTAAATACATTTAAAATACCGTTTTTAGAATCTAATTTGACTGCTGATCTAAAAAATGACTTTCGAAAATCAAAACATGGAATAACTGTAGGATATGAAAATGATTCAAAATGGTCACCTAATTGGAGCGACAATAAAGCGAATGTCTCATCGGGACATCCTGTGACATTTGAAGCAACAAGCAGGTAGCAATTCTCATTCATTTCTAAATTAAAATTTGATATTTTTAATTTCCTAAGCTATCTTTTAAAGAACAATTGCATGGATTAGCAACGCTAATTTATAATTTTTTCTTTATGAACGATAGGTTTTGGTCAATTAACTTTGTTAGCTAGAGTTATTGGCTTAATTTTATATTAAATCGATTTTTGTAAGTGTTAGGTTTAATTTAAAATTCAATAACGCTGCTAATTGTTAGTGGAATATAATTTCAAACAGAATCTTGTTACTTTTTATAGCATATCTATGTAAATCAGTGTTATTGCACACATAAAAAATCCTGCATTAGGGTGGATCAAGTTTAAAATTAATAAAAGTGATTGTCAGAGATATATAATAATAGAAGGTGAGGACAGGGAGAAGAGGAAGGGTGGAGAGAGAGAGAAATGCTGGAATTAGAAAAAGTAATGATATGCGTTATTGGATGGATCAGTGAGCAGTGAATATAAGAATCAATTACAATTCTATTTAAATATCATGAATTTTCAACTCAAAAATTCCTATTGACATTCCATCATCTCTCATAATATATAACATTCATGCATTTGCATATATAAAATCAGCAAATTGTTAATATCTAATGCAGGACCGTTCACATAATTCATATAAAATGGAGTAAGTGTTTTATATATTTTAATAAATTTGTTAAATGATATTAACCAATTAATTAATTCATTATTATAGTAGTAGAAAATGGCTTTTATGTACGCTCATTATTGTATCATCACTATTTCTATTATTCATTATTGCTATCATAACGGCATATGCAATGAATGGTAAGTAATAACATTTGAAATTTTAACAATACGAAATGTTATTTACGTTAAATTGCATTAAATTATGCTGATTCATTTGTTCCATTAAATTTTTCTATAATAGTAATAAATATAATAATGATATTTATTATAACTAATAACTATGATTTAAACTTGGTATGATTTATCTTTCTGATTCAGCGAATTAGAAGTCTAATTGAAATGTGAGATTACTTGCGAAACATAATATATTTAATGATCTAAATATGACATATAAAACTCAAGAATTTTTTTTTTTTTTTTGTAGCAATAACTGACGATTTTAAAAGTTAGGATAATTTAATCAAAAAAATATTCGAACGAAAAGCAAAAAGACGAAAAAAAAAAATTTCTTCCTTTTAGTGATTATTATCAAATTTCCATCATCATCATCATCCAAAACAGTACGACCATATCCATTCGAAACTACAACTTCATTACCTAATTTCACCACTCAACCTTTCTTTCCACCTTTTTTTCCCACACCATTACCACCATATAATCCAATCATTACAACATTGCCAAATCCAACAGATCGATTGCAAAAACGAACATTTCTCTGCCAAATGTATTTATTAAATAAAGCTAATGATGCTTATGTAAATCATGATAGTTTTGAGTATCGTAAAGCATCTCAAATGATTCAGAATGCGGTATGTTAAAATTCCTACCTTGGAATTTATTTAATTTTAAAGAAGTTTTTGACGATTAATATCAGAATTATTGTAAATAATAGTTATGAAATGTTTTGCTTCATATTATTAGCGGTATTATCCGATAATGTATTCCGGATAGAAGAATTGTTTTTTTTTTGTTTTATTTGTTTTTGATAGGTCATTTGAAAGGAATATAATTTAATCATGCTTTTGCACTCTTCCAATCATTTTTTGTCAGTATTTTCCATAGCTTAACTTATGTGAAATGCATGTTTCAGTATTCACTTAATCGATTAATGCTTAAGTTCGATATTTATAAGTTTTTATCTCTATCAAATAACAGATAGAAATAATGATTAAAATTTAAAATAATATCAATTTTTAGATACATAGTCAACTTAAACAATCTCCTTTGCAGCCGCACCTGGAAAATGTTTACGTATGGTATTTATTCAACAGGTAAAAATTTGAAATAAATTTATACTATAAAATAAACTATTGTATAATAATAACAAATAGATAATTGATTTGCATTTCTTTTTTTCAGTGGTCCTCATCTTGCCGTAGAATTTTCTATCATATTGCTTCTTCCATCACATCCAAATATTGGTTTAACATCGGTCAAAAATGTTCTCCTCAGTATATTACCAGAAATTGAAGAACAATTGGATGGTACTCATATCGATAGAAATAGCATTTCGATACAGTATCTTCATAATTAATTCATTTTTTCCTTTTCTTCCTCTTCAATATTTGTTATGTAAAATATGTTATTTATGAATTTGCTATGTAAATCATTTATCAAAATTTTGATGTTTTTTAATGATGATAAAATAAGAATATAAAATAATAAAGGTTCTGAAATTAATTTAAGCCGGCCTGCCGATCAAACAGAAAAGTTTAATTAAAAAATTAGAAGAAATAAATAATTTTACAGGAAAAATATTCAAAAAACTTCAGTTATGTTTACTACTAAAGGAATACATTATATTAAACTTTTTTTTGAAATCTTTCAAAATTACCTCATCTTTTATAATTATATTGCAATGTCGATAAATATATATCATTAGATCATTTAATAAAATTGATAAATCTATAATTTACTGAAATATGATAAAGAATACATTATTAACGTTTTTTTGAAATGAACGATGGATAAAAGTACATTAATGGAAAAAAAGAAAACTTAAATATTAGAGTGCATCGCATAAAGGACTATTATTTTCAATCACAACAACTCATTTATCAAGATATTTTATCCAAATATTCTAATCAATAACAAATAAGTAACAAATCGTAAGGTTTACTTCTCGCTGAAAAATAAATACAACAATTTAGATGGCAAATGAAGATTTAAGAAATCACAATATACCGAAAGTTATAACTATTTTTCGAGTGTTTTTAGCATGGAAGCTAAAT